TAATATTTTTAATAAAAAATTATTGTAAATCAAATAAATCCCTGCTAAAAAAAATAATAATAATCGACTACGTAAATAATCAAAGCGAGAAAAAACGACTAAAAAAAAAAAAAAAATTGTATAATTCTATTATCGATACACTTCTATGATTCGTTTAATTATTATTATTATCATTTACTGGATATCTTTACTAACTATCGTCAACTTTTTAATTATTTTAAACTTTTTTTTTTTTTTTTCAAATATTCCATTTCTCTAACCAGAGGAATTAATATTTAAACTTTTTTTTTTCTTTTTTTTTCTCCTTAAAGCTTTCCAGCAGCTTCAAGTTTTTTCTTAAGGGATTCTGGCATTTCTGGTGGAGGAGGCCTTGGAAGGCGAAGATAAACTTTAACTGCATCGTATATGAACCATTGAGCAGCTGTTAAAGTACCGATCATGATAATCCTCGGTACCAAACCTTTCCAAACACCTAATTATCATAATAATAATAATAATAATAAAACAAATGTAAAAAAATTTAATTCGATTTAATGATGGAAATTTTAAACCGTCACTAACCGAACATTCCAAGATCTTTCAACACTTGACCAGCAGTGGCTTCTTTGTTTTGATTCAATTTGGAAACTACCGTATCCGCCGGATGTGAAACGATGGCGCAGAAAACACCAGCAATGTAACCGGCAGCAAATGTAACAAGAAGTTGTTCACCTTTGGTACATTGATCTCTAGGTTTTGGTACGACGTATCTATTAAAAAACAAAAAAAATTTAATAAAATAATAATAAAAATAATCCGCATTTTATTCATTCAATTAAATAAGGTTTATTTGTTGAACCTGTAAAGAAGTTCGACGGTTTTTTCAAAGCAAGCAAACTTCATCATGGTGTACGGTATCTGTCTCATCCAGAGTGGTACCAAACTCTTGTAAAAAGCGTTCAATCCTTCTTCTTTCATCATTTTCGGAGCACATTCTCTAAGTGTTGAAGCGTAACCGGGAGTTGTTTGAATTTTAACCTTAAAAATATTTTTTAAAAAAATGAAAACCGATTCATGCCCTCGACACTCTTCCTAAAAAAATATGGTTACCTTAGCTGATTCCCATGGACTTAAAGCAACATCTGCGATGAATTCTGCAGAAGCAGAAGCAGCCAAATACAGCCAAGTACGGTAAACGTAAGCATTTTCTTCCCCAAGAGCATCACTGTACAAGCATTTAAATACTTCGTAAAATCCAAATTTGCAAAGACCCTAAAATAATTCAACAAAAATAATTTTACTTAAAAAATTGATATTTTCTTTTCTTTAAATTTGAAATTCCTGCTTTACCTGAGCAGAATAACCAATGGCAGTAGGTGCCCATCCTCTGGCTAAACCTCTGGTACCTTCTTCACCAACGGTAACCTACAAAAAAAAAAAAAACAAATTTTAGGCGGTATGAAAAGACAAAACTATATATAGATTTCTTCATTTTTAAAAAACAATTTTTTAAAATGATAATCACTTTGAAACCGTGAATCAAATTTTTATATTTTGCAGAATCTACTTGCAAACGACATTTGACTAAATCTAAAGGTGTTATCATTGTATGAGTTATTCCACATGATAAAATACCACCAACTCCACACAATAAGAAATATTTTGTTGATCCAAATTCGCAACTGTCTGCAATCATAAGAATAATATAACACAATTTTAAAATAAAAATAAGAATGTAGTACACATTTATTAATTAATTAAAAATAAAATTACCATTTGCCGATGCAAAGGATGATGCTGGTGATAGTGCTAATAATTTACGATTATTTATTAACGTTCCTCTCGGCAAATCATTTTGATATAAAGAAACTTCTTTGGTGGAGGCAGGCATGGAAGCTTGACGCTTTTTCTCTACCTCAATCAGTGATTTATACATTGCGTGGAAGTTGATGCTGAAAATTAATGAAAAAATAAATTTTTTGAAAAATCAATGAAGTATCAAAACAGGCGGTGGAATATTTAAAATAAAAAAGAAGCCCTTTGGCGAAACATCAAAAAAAAAAAAAAAAAAATTAGCTGCATTTTGTCGTTAATTTAAGTTTAAGGTCTTTTTTTTGTTATTTATATATTTATTAAACGACAAAAATTAAGAAAAAAAAAATACAAAAACTAAAAATAAAACATTGGCATCATATATAGGCTACCTAGTAACCTAAAAACTTTTATTAAATCTATATTTAAATTTATTTGCCAAGTTATTATTTTCACTTTTAAATTATATAAATTCATTATCATCATTTATTGTAAAATAAAATTATTTTAAAAAACATTTTAATCTAATTTTCATAAACGTCACTGAATTTTCGAAAATTTTTTTAAAAAAAACAAAATGGCGTCGTTTCATTGTTTAACCTCATTTTACAATTGAAAAAAAAAAAAATGACAAAACAAAACGATTTCGATTATGGTAAAACTAAAAACAATTCCTTCATCATTTTTTTTTTTTTTTTTTAAACAAATAAAACATTTGAAAAAGATTATTAAATATTCACTTTTGACAATATTTTACACATCCATCCATCCATCCATCCATGGTAGACAATTAGTAACGTGTAAAAATTATAACTTTTAAAAAAATTAACAAATACTCGAACATTTTTATTGAATTTTTCCGTTATTTAAGAATTAAAGAAATCGTTACTTTATAAAAATTACTACTTTAAAAAAAAAATGAGATAAAGAAAAAGTCAGACAATTAAAATCCGATTTAAGAATGCGATTAATCAGCGAAAAAACGATTTAAAAATTAACGAACTTTTTAAATCATGAAAAAAAAAAAAAAAAAAAAAAAAATTTTGAAAAATTAAAATATGCATACAATAGATAAAGATTAACTCATTAAATAAAAAATATGCTTAAAAAGCTTTTTTCTAACGTATTTTTTTATCTAAAATGACAAAAAATCGGTAAAAAATTAATGTCCGTACGTTAATTTAAAAACGCATAAATTCTTCTTAAAATAAGAAACCGATTTTTTTTCTTCTTCCCTACAAAGTGATTTCTAGAAATTTCCAAAGAAGCGACCGTTACACCAGACACCTACAGTAATCAGATTTTTTTGTGAGTAGTTTATTCTTGAGTATTTAAAATAAATTCTTTTATATATAGTGTAGTGAGTTTATTAAAAAGAAAAAAAAAAGCAAGTTAATTAATTAATTAAAATGGAAAACATACAAATTAACGGTCAAAAAATTTGGGGCCCACCAAAAGATTGGGTAGGACCGCCACCACCGCACGGCACGGAAATTTTTATAAAAAATTTACCCGATGATGTTTTCGAAATAGAATTATTTCAAATTTTTTCGACAATCGGTAGAATTTACGAAGTACGATTACCCGTTCATTGGAGTGGCATTAATAGAGGATATGCGTTCATAAGGTACACGAAAATTTCGGAAGCTGACGCCGCCATTAAAGCGTTCGACATGTTTGAAATTCGTAATAAGAGAACAATTAAAATAGAAAGATCCGTTGATAATACGAGATTGTTTTTAAGTTGCGTGCCTAATGATAAAACAAGTGAAGAAATTCAATGTGATTTGTTAACCGTTGTAGACAATGTAAAAAAAGTTTATGTTTATCCAACATTAGAAAATCCTTCCATTTTCAGAGGATATGCTTTTGTCGAATTCAAAAGTCACAGGGATGCTGCCATTGCTAAAAGAATTTTAACACCTGATGTTTGCTTTAATTTATTTGAAAAAAAATGCATTGCTGCTTGGGCTAATCCTCTACCATTTTTAAATGAATCAATACTTAAGACAGTAAGTAAATTCAATACTTCTTGCCAAAAAATAGTTTTACTCTGAAATTAAAAACTAAAATTATTTAGATAAAACTTTTCTTTAATTTCTTATGATAGTATGTTGTTTATTAATGACCATATTAATTAAATCCCAACAATTTATTATTGTAAATAACAACATCATAAAATGATTTTATTATTAATTTGCTATAATTAAAAGAATTCGAAAAAAGTTGTGTATTAACAGTAATTATAACTGACATCTAGGCTTTATTCGAATAAAGTTTTTTTCGAGTTAATTATGTAATATGACTAAAAACTCTGAATTAAATTAGTTACTTTTTCTTTAATCAGATTAATTTTTTTTGCAATAATAAAAATTAATTTAATTATTATGTGTAAGCATATGTTTAATTCTTTTCGATATGAATTTAAAATTAAAATAAGTATTAACACATATTAACATGATTAATTATTCGATACTTGTTAATGTTTTCGATTGTATTTAAGTTACTATAAAAATTGAGTTTTAAATAAATTTAGGTGGTACAATTTTTTAAAAAAAATTTTTCTTTTTTTCTAAATCTCTTTTAGATAAATATATTGTTTATCAGAAATGTGCCAAAAGAAATAAAAAGTAACACCATTAAGAAGATAATTGAAAATATCCTTGAAGACAATTCCTTACAGAAAGTAAAACGATTAAATAATTTTGCTTTTTTAACATTCAGAAATCATGAAAAAGCTAAATTCGCTTTGAATTACATAAAAGGTAAATGTTTGTTTTTTTTTTTTCAATAATTTTTTAATATAAAAACTCGAACTTAACAAAATTACTTTCGAAAGCTTTAAAGGTATCATACATTAAATTTTTCTAATGATTAAAAATAACGATTGATTTAAAACATTAATATATGTGTGTAAAATTGTGGCACATTAAAATCTTCATCATTGCAAAGTGTTTAACCTTATTTCAAGGTCTAGTAGGTGTGAAACAAAATTTAGCCTAATTTTATTAATTTTAATTTAATTTTTACAAGAAAAATTTTTATGATGAAAATAATGAAACATAAAAATATTGAAAATTAAAGTATTAAAATAATTGAAAAATGAAATTAAAATATTTTAAATTTATTTTTTTAGAAAAAGTATTTGTTAAATTTTAATAGATATAGTTTCATATTTAAAATTCAATTAGTGTCTCATAAATTATATAAAAAAACAAATGAATGTTAATTTTAAATAAATTATTAACCGGTAAAGAAAAAAACTGTTCGAACAAACAGATTTTTTTTTTTCATAAAAAAAAACATTTTTAATGAGTACACGCCGCGTAGCCATATGTCATTTATCTAAATCTTACTTTTACAGATACATAAGAAAATTAAAACTAGTAAAAATATTTTCTAAAATACCTAAAGTGTTTAAAATAATTAAAAAATCAATTTTAAAAATTAAAAAAATTTTTTTAAATAAGAAAAAATTTGACTTACACGTCTTTGCCCTGATCACAAATTTTTTCCCAAACTGCAAAGGTCAAATAAGCGTCTTTTAGCTCCGAGTAAAAAATATTTTTTTTTTATGAAATTATTTTAAATATTAAAAATTTAAATTAAAAAAAAAACGTTAATTATTTTTTATATTTTAAAATTTAATAGATGTCCGAAAGTTTATGTAAATTTTTACATTTAATTATTGTTTATCTATTGCTGTTTTGACTACGAAGTAAAATTTTATATCGATTATGAATTATAAATAAATTATTCGATTATATTTTTCTACATTCGACTATTACTCTTCGAAAAATTTTATAAAACCTTATATTTTTGTAAAAGTATTATTTAAACGTTATTACAATTTTGTTTTCGGTTATGCACTTGAAAAAAAAAAAAAATTTTCAACAGTTGGCACTTTTGGTCGTGACGTCATAATTGAATTAGAGGATTCAGTTTAAATCTTTAATCTTAGTTTATTTTAACGGTTATTCAAAAATTTTAATAAGAAAAACATTATGCAATAAATAATTTTTTTTTGAAAAAACTTGACTTTTTTGCGTATGAATAATGAATAATTAAAAGTTTCAAGTGTTTTAAAACGTTAAAACCACTATTAAAACTTTAAAAATTATTAAATCTTTCTTTAAATGATTTTCAGATCATCCTAGTTTATTGGGAAGCGAAAAAATTCAAATAGAATGGGCAGTACCACGTGATGTAAACGTATTGAACGACAAACTTGGTTTTAATATGGAAAACAAAAAAATAAATCATAATAATAATATCGACAAGTTATTATCACAATTATAATTTATTACATTTAATTTAAAGCATTTCATTTCGTTTCAAAACTAATTACAATTATATTTTTGTAAACAGGCACAATCGTAATCAGATGTGGCATCACAATAATTCTAACTATATTAAAGAATCAAACTTTGTCGGAAACAAATGTAATTTTATAAATTCCGTAAATTTGACGGATTCTCAAAAAAGTTCCGACACAATTTCTTGCGAGGATGAATCTCCAGAAATCATTTACTCAGAACTTTCAGAGGAAAAATATAAAAACCCTGGAATGTAAGGAAGATGTAGTTTTGTGTTTCATACTATAAGCAATGCATGTTAAACTATTTTCGTTGATGATTTAATAATAATTAATTTGATGATTTCAGGCTTTTGCCATTTGAAAATGAATTAAAACAAAATAATAAATCATCGTATTACGGATTGATTTCGAACGGATTGTTAGACGTAAATCGCGAAAATAATTATAAAAAAGACTTACCAGATAAATCTCAATTGCTGGCACAATTAAAAAATGATGAATTTTTACATCGTTTGTCTCTCATTCCTTCTTCCTTGTCATCAGTGGATTCGTCTTTGAGTTTTAGTCAAAGTACCAAAGTTCCAGAGTCTTCAATTCTTCACAGCAAAAATTTCAACGGATTGAATTCTGATTCAAATCATTCATTGAATACATCTTCGATTGAATTTTTACCTTATTTACGTCAAATAAGATGAAATGATTCCACCAAGTTTTGTATTTTTTTTTTTTTTTAAAAGTAAAAACCTCCCCTAGTATGAACAAATTTGATGGGGGGGGGGGAATGGCAAAATACATTTCGTAACATAATTATTTATTTATTTATTTTTTTTTTCAATGTAAAATTAAATTTAGCTAAAAAAATATTTACACACATAACACACTAGAACAGTTATACAGTTAAATAATAATAATAATTTTGTTTACAACTTTTACATATCTAATTTTTACAAAGCTCAATCATATTTTCACCTATACCTAGCTCAATTTAAAAGAAAATAAAAATGACCAAGAACGACACGTTTGTAAACATAAACTAAAAATAATAATAATAATAATAAGTAATTATTTATACAATAATTTTTTTTACATTCTAAAATTATTTTTTAATTGCACAATTTATTTCTACATACATTTTTCTAAAATATTTACTTAAAATCAGTGGTTGAGCATTTTTTTTTTAAAAAAAAATTTTTTAGGTAACTTTTTCCTTTTTCTTTAACTTTACAAATTGTCTTCTTTTTCATATTCTTCTTCGGTTAAGTAAAATGATAGAACATTATTTGATTCGTATTGTAAATTTAATTTAGCATTTTATTAAAAAAAAAAAAAAAAATTATTTGAATGTTAATAATTTACCTGTTAGTTTGACGATTAATAAAGTAAGATAGTTTTTTGCAAATTTTTTTTTTTTTTTGTCATCTAATGGTAATTTTTTATTTTATTTTGTACCATTAAATGTATTAGGCTAAGCATTTATAAAAAAAATTGAGTAGGTATTAGTGGTGGTGTTTGTTTGGTTTTAGTTTTTTTTTTTTCATTTTTTTTTTGTTTTAATATAAAATATAAATAAGTTTTTTTTTTTTTTTTTTTTTGTTAATTACAACGAAACTACAACAAAATAAACTTTTGTCACGAACTCATTATAAAGTACAGATGAAAACTACAAAGTA